TAAAAATCCTTCAGCCTTCACCTCCAGTCTGAATTCTCTGAACATCTACAAGTCCTAAAAGATTGCTCTCTCTCTCTAGCTATAGTAATTGTCACTGGGCCTGGCACCTGGTGGTTCCCCTTAACAATTATGCTTAGTTATCAGTAATGTAATGATAGTTTTCAAGGTATTTTCAGCATTTCTAAAAGTCAAATGATAGTCATCATTTACCTTAAATCAATTGCTTTTTATCTAAACTAATGACATGAGATAGAAAGCAAATCTAAGATATCTTAATTCTTTCCAGCATTATGTTATAGGCATTTTGAATATTATCTCTAGTTAAAATATTGCATATTTCTAAACTAAAGATAGTAACACTGGTTGGTTTTGTTTGTTTGTTTTTTGTTTGCTTGTTTTATTGGAAATTTTGATTGGAATGAAATTACCATAAGAATGTAGATTGTTTGGAAGCTTTCCACAATAACATCTTGGGTGTTGTGGTGATGTTAAGAATGAAAGTTGCCCTTGGCCAGGCATTGGTGTCTCATGCCTGTAATCCTAGTGACTCAGGAGGCAGAGATCAGGAAGATCGAGGTTCAAAGTTAACTGGGGCAAATATTTCATGAGACCCTATCTCAAAAAGGGCTGGTAGAGTAGCTCAAGGTGCAGGTCCTGAGTTCAAAGCCCAGAACCACAAAAAAAAAAAAAAAAAAGTTGCCTTTGATAGTGAAATAATTAGGAACCATTAATGCCTAATGGTTCTGTTTAGATTCCTTCAGAAGTCCAAATATACTATCTTTCTGGAAAAATACTCAGATGTATGTAAATTCTTACATGTAATTTCAGAGGATTCAGGACTCTTTGAAATGTATTCTGTATCTTTTTGTGAGATAGAAACTTATTAGAAATGATTTTTCCTACCCCCACTCCACAGTTGAATAATATCCTATAGCTTTGCAAACAGTTTATAAAATTATTAAACTTTATAATTACTTAGGTCTGTTGGAGTGGCTCAAGTGGTAGAGCGCTTGCCTAGTAAGCACAAGGCCCTGAGTTCAACCTCTAGTACTGATCCCCTTCTCCCTGTGGCTCCCCTAAAAAAGTTTGTCACTTTAAGAAAGGCATCGTCTCCTAGTGGCTAAGAGCACAGTCTCTGGAACCAGTCTGCCTGGATTCAGATCTGGTACCTCTACAACTACCTGCATATTGGGCAAGTTGCTTAACTCTGTTTTGTAACTATGAAATGGGGATAATAATCACTTAGTGGATAAGTGTAAAGATTAAATAATTAATATACCTAAAGTGTTTAGAACAGAAAGTGGTACTCCACAAGTGTTAGCTATTGTTATTAAGTATTATTATCTGGCAGGGTTACTATGTGGTTGAATACCTGCCAATTGAGGTTCTCTAGGCTGCATCTTGCCTGGATGATGGGTGTGGTTTTCTAATTTATGCAAAGGCACACAGTGTCTTTATTCACAGAGTCATCCTTCAGGGAATATGTCAGAATAAACTCCTTTTCATACCAGTATTAAATAGGCCTCTCTTACCTTATTTCTATGAAGAGATGGTGCTTAGAATTTTATGAGAAAAACAAATTTTATGAGATACCTTTTTATTTTTTAATTTTTTTTTGAGACTGAATCTTACCATGTAGCCAAGGCCAGCCTAGAACTCCATCTTCCTGTATAAACCTTCTAAATCCTGAGATTAGGACTAGAGGTGTGGCTCAATCCATAGACTGCCTACTTTGTAAACTCGAAACCCTGAGTTCAAACCTAGTCTACCAGCAAAACAAAAACCCAATAGTCTTGGGATCATAGGCATGCACCACCATGTCTGGCTATAGGGCTTCTTTTTATCCCAATATCTGATATTCACATTACTTCTGAGCAGGGTAACTGCGCTGCTCCTCTTGTTCACAGTATGAAAGTTTTGTTTTGCCTATTAACCTCTTTTATCTCTTGCTATTTCCACTCTACTCTTTTTTTAATTATAAAATATTAAAAAAGATGCCTTAAGCTATTAGGATTTATAATACAGTGAGCATTCTTGTTCCTCCACTCAGTTAAAAGAAATATGATTATCTTTGAAATTCTTTGAGTATATTTCTACATCCCATTTCCTACTCTCTCCTCTCAAAGGTAATAATTAGCCTGTTGGAATAGCTTTCTTTTTTCTAGATTTACTACATATTTATCCTTAGACAATATATCAATTTATATGCTTTTGAGACTTCATGTAAATGGAAAGTTTATATGAGAGAGTGAGTGTGGGTGTGTATTATTTTTCTTCTACTTGATTTTTTTTTTTCTGGCTCAGCATTCTTTAGTTTTATCTATGTCCATATGTACAATATCCCACCGTGTAACAGTACCTCAATTTATTCATCCATTTTACTATTCATGTACATTTTGGCTGTTATTTTGCTATTTCAGTGCTACCATGAAGGTTTTTATTTATACTTTTAAATGCATATGCACAAGTTTCTGTAGTGTATATGCCTAGGAGTAATTGCTGAGTTACAAGAAATACACATCTCTAGCTTTACTGGATACTGGCAAATTAATTCCAAAAGTGGTTGTACTGATACACACTTCTATCATTAGAGTAAAAGGATTAAAGTTGCTCTTTATTTTTTTCATTTATTTAAGAAATAGTTATTGGGCACTTATAGCAGTAAATAAAAGGACAAAAAGGCCTGCTATCAGGTAGTTTAGATTTTAGTGACAAAAAATAGCTAAAATACCTAACATAGCAAAGTGATACATGTCTTATGGGGAAAAATAAATTAAGGGAGTGGATATTATTTCACTGCTCCTAGAAGAACCATATGGAGGACTAGAGTCTAAGGGGCTGAAGTAGAACCTTAAGAACTGAACTTGGGGTGATTGACATGAACAGAGATGCAGGTATGAGACTGGTTCTGATGTGCTCAAGCACGTGATAGTGAAGCTATGAACATTGAAGGGTGGGATCCTGCTAGGAGCCCCTCTCTTCACTTCTACTTAATCTAGTAGTAATAAGAATGAGTGAGGAGGCTGGGAATGGGTGGTATTTTGAGCACTTGGAGATACGGAGCCCCCTTTTGACTCTAGCCTATTGTGGTTTGAAGAACCATGATAGGACATTTATCTGAAACATACAGAACAGTGTGGTTATCCTGATTCAGGAACATTGGTGGTCTGATGCTTGCTTGACCCTTGAAGTTGGGAGGAGGGTAGAATTACTCTGAGCTGTGGACTTTAAGACTGTCTTTACTCTTATGCATGGAGATAGGGAATCCCTGGGGAGGGATAGTGTTGCCTAGAGTATGTGGAGCTCCCATTGTCAAATCTGTCAACTTTTTGCCAGTGGAAGTGGTATCTTGCTATAGTTTTAATTGCATTTCCTCTATTTCACTCTAAAAATCCAAAATTACCTACCTTTTAAATATCACTTAGTCATATACTTTTACTTTCATCATTCATGTTTAATGGGCTCTATGATTAGGGAGATTTTGTTACCTATTTGTCCCATGACTATCTTTAGATACCTAAGATTTAATCTAGCGACTGAAATTTTTACTGTAGTGGCGCATGTGAAGAGACCTTCAGTGAAATCTGTTACTCCATATACTATCAGCAAGTAACCCCTTGAGTCAGGAACCCTGCCTACCCGGTGTTCACTCTGCCTGAGAAGCTGAGTTGGTAGCCCTCACCCATGCATTGTTACCTAACCTCAAAAAACATATCAGTATGTCTACACTGACCGTCTTTCATCTCTTCTAGGACTTCCATCAAAATATGGCCCCATTTCATAGCACTATTAGAGGCTCTTCAGTTGTCTTTTTAACTTGCTATTTTAAAATCTGAGTATCACAGCTGTTCTTGAGAGTTTGTAAGGAAAACACTTTGGCTTATTACAGCCAAGTCTGTAGCTCCTTACCAGTTCCTTACACAGTTTTACTCCCTATAATATCCACAGTATCCCTTACTGTTCTCCATGATTGAGCCTCGGAATTTGTGAAAAGAATACTGGAGACAGGCAGGGCACATACTGTAATTTGATAATCTGTGGTGCTTTCTAGGTCGCCATCTAGTTCCACTTTGTTTATGTGTTATATTCAGTGCCATGAGGGAGTGCAGAGATGATGATAGCATCTGTAAATTCCAACCGATTTACTTGCATTTCCCAGGAATAATTCAGGTCCATTGCTCAGAACTGTGCCTTCTCAAACTGATAGTGTGTGTCAACCATTAAAGAGAGATTACAAGGGTGCCAGTGTCTCACGTCTTTAATCCAAGGTACTTGGGAGCCTGAGATTGGGAGGATCGAGGCACAAGGCCAGATGAGGCAAATAGGTTTGGGAGATCCCATCCCCAAAATAACCAGAGCAAAATGGACTAGAGGTGTTGCTCAAAAGGTAAAGTACCTCCTTTGTAAGCACAAAGCCCTGAGTTCAAACCTCAGTCCCACAAAAAAAAAAAAAAAAACGTGGGTAATGAGACCTGTCCCATCAGTTTCTTTTTTAGCTTTCAAAAGGATTTTGTCCAGTCTTCTTTGGTTGGCTATTGAGGATATCGTAAGCTTTTTCCTATTTGGATTGAAGCCTCTGATGGAAAGACGGTTGTTGTTAATGTTATCCCACATGTGGGAAGACATATATGCCACCCATTTTACAGAAGAGATATTAGAGATTTCAAAGTTTTACCAGGTTCAACATGATTATATAGACCTTATTATTCCCAAAGTACAAAAGGAGTAGAAAAAGAAATGCAGTCCTAAAAATAAATTAACCTAACCCTAGTATAAATCCTAAATGATCCAGAACCCTTCCTAGTGCCCATATGAACATAACAGTAATTCCCAATAGATAAATTCGTTTGAACCCATATTAAATTGTCATGAGAAACCCATGAGACAATTCTCATCCACCTTGACTGACCCAAATAATTTCCAAGTGCATGTTTCTAACAATATTGTGAGCAACTGCAAAGCCCATATGAGTCGTCTGAAGTTTTATCATTTACAGGTGTATGACGAATTCCCAGACCCTCCAGCCAACGCAACACCATCCACTCTGACTAGATCCAGATTCAGGTCCTCTCAAGACAGACTTCATTGGATCCACACTCAAGAGGACTCTACCAGGTTTTCCTGGCCTTGCTACATTGCTGTAAAGTGCCAAGGGCTTAAGACTTGGGTACGTGTATTGCAACGGCAAGAGTGCCAGCACCAACAAAAGATTCATTGGACCTATCAGCTCCTCTGCTTCACCAAGCATAATAACCTTACCAACAAAGCAGAATATGTCAAGTGCCTCTGTGTGACACCACCACCAGCTGATAACGTGCAAGAAAAAAATAATTTAGTATAGAGTCCTGTCTTTTCTTGAGAAGCTGGGATTAGAAGGAGCTGTTTGAGGTCCGTGCTGCTAGTAAGTGACAACATTATAGACTGGATCGGTCCCTGAGTTCAGAGACTGAGTTGCAATTGAGTGAAAAATAGACAACGAAATCTTGAAGAATTGCACTGAAGTGCAAGCCAAATTTAAAAATCTTCAAGTAATGCTGGTTGAACTGAGAAATTGCTAAGCCACGCCTGTAACAGAACTGATTATTTTGAGTGTGTCTGTCATTGTTGCCTCTTTCTATTATATTGCTCCTGTGCTGTCTTTCTAAGTCCAGATGTTCTCTGATAACTCACATTGCCCTGATTGTGGGCAACAGTGGTTCCCTAGTTTAGAACTAGGCCATTGGTTGTACCAAACTGAACTTGTGGAAAATGAGTGTTACCAAGTCTTCTTAGACCGTATTAACAGAGCTGATTATTGCCCTGAATGTTATCCTGATAATCCTGCCAACAGAAGCCTTGTTCTTCCTTGGTCTTTCCCACTTGAGTGGGCTCCCCAAAATCTCACCAGGTGGACCTTTGAAAAAGCTTGCCATCCATTTCTTCTGGGTCCTCCACTAGTTAGAAAAAGGATACATGACTCCAGAGTAGCTGGTTTTAACCCTGCATTACAATTAATTTTGACCAGAACAGATAAAACCCTAAACAAAAAACTTGGCCAAAACAAGTAACTTTTTTAGCAGTCAAAATCGTGGAGACTGTAGAAGGTTTTGTGCTAGTAGCCCAGGGAATATGAAAAAATAATTCATTTCTCTCTTTTTTGTGGTTGATTGGTGCTGGGGATTGAACCTGGGGCCTTATGCATGCTAGGCAAGTACTCTACCACTGAGCTACACTCCCAGCTCTCATTTCTAAGTCTGACTAGACTGTCACTACTTTGGCAATTGCTTAAATTGTTAGGTCTGCTTCTGTGGTCTATGCATATTTTGTTCAGCATGAATTTAGTCAGTGTTCCAGCCAGACTGTTCATTTAGGGCCAGACTAATCCATAATCACTATAATTGAAGTTTTGGAACTAGCTTGCCCCTCCTGAAAATTCCGCAATGTAAGTATTGACATAAAATAATGTAGCCCTGGAGGGGATGCCCCATATTGTGTGCTCCATAATTGTTTTTCTAGCAGTAACTTTTGTGGGAAAGCATCCTCCTTGTAGTTGGATTCTAGATTATTTCAATAAATTTTAATAATAAACTATATTGTTCTAAATTACCACTCTTATACATTGATCAGTGATAATGAGATACATGTATATGTGTGTGTGTATGGTTATGTATATATCTCTATATACATACATGAAGTTTATTCATATATAAGCAATTTATTCCTCATTAACTCTGTTTAGCCCATCCTCAGCCACTGTCAGAGAATATTGTTACTGATAACCGGTCACTGTCAGAGAAGTCACATCCTGTTAGGCAACACTTTTCATAGGTTACAAAAAACATGTAAAAATGCTGCCTGTTTTACTTGGCTCTATATAACCAAAGACTGTCCTGTCTTTGTGGTGACTGACTTTAAATGCCCTCCCCTGAAATGAAACATCTCATAGAACATTTACTATGTGATTTATGACAAAAAGTATTATCAAGCCTGACTCCATATAATTTATGAATAGTCTAGTGGAAGCTTTTTTCTTAGAATTAAGAAAGTCTTGCTGTATGTTAGCCATATTCTGGCCTTCTTATGAAAATCATGGAACCACAGTTAGAGTTCGGCAACTTAGAAAAAGCTGTTGAAGACATCTCAGAGGCCACTGTATAATTTTTAAATTCTACTCTAGATACTAAACGGTCTTGTGTATAGCAGCTCAACAGTGTTATCAAGGATCCAGGTTCTTTCTGTTCTTCCCCCTCCTGGGATCCTTATGACGTTTGCTTTTTGTCCTTGTGGTTGTTCCTTCAATGAGTACAATATGGTTTTTTGTGTCAGACCTTTCAATCCTCATCAGAGGCTCAAAGGAGGAAGCAAAAGGCTTTCTCCTTTCAAGCAGTTCTTTCATTTGGGAATAAAATCTCTCCCAAAAGTCTCTAGCAGATTTCTTTTTGTATGTCATTAAAAGGTACTGGTTCACAAGGGAGCCTGGGAAAGCCTGTAAAGGAGAATGGAGTTGGCCTTGCCGTTGGTAAAGCACACTGATAAAATTAGGATTTTTTTTAGGCTGTTGATAATGCAACAAATCATATGTGTCACATGTTGTGAAACCTGAAGTTACTTGTCTGTATAAAGAATGTACCCCAGAGATCCATTCCTGTGTCTGCCTTATGTCTATCATGATGGAGTTTCTCTCCTGTTACATTGCTGAATAAACTGTGTGGACTGCTAAATTGAATGAAGACTAGAGTTTGTCATTAGCCATAATGAAAAACTCCTTCACTACTGAAAAGCGCTTCCTAAAAAGTGAAAATTCACTTTGACCTACTTTTGAGAATGTTTTGATGTTGATGTTATTGCCCCCAACACTGGGGTTTAAACTCAGGGCCTTCACCCTGCGTTCACCCCTGAACTTTGAGCCACTCCACCAGCCCTTTTTAAAAGGTTTTTTTTTTTTTTTCCCGAGATAGGGTCTCATGAACTGTTTGCCTGGGCTGGCTTCAAACCATGATCTTCCTGATCTCTGCCTCCTGAGTAGCTAGGATTACAGGTGTGAGCCACCGGCGCCTGGCAATGCCCCTTAATTTTTTAAAGTTATTAGAGAATGCTGTACTCCAAGGATGTGTACCAAGAAACACCTTACATGCAAATCTAGTCTATAGAAATTTTGATTCCTTAGGTTGGGAGCTGACTGAGTACTCATAGCACTGTAAGGTGGTCCTGCAGGTTGAACAACCCTAATATAAAGGTCTGACATCTGGTCACAAGCATTTTGGATAAGGGATATTCAACCAATATTTATTATATTTTTAAAGATTATAACTTTATTAAGAGGTTTCATGTTAGACTAAAGATCATTGTTGATATTTCAGCCACATTTTTTTCTTTTTTTTTTTTTGTGGTACTGTGGTTTGAACTCAGGGCCTCATGCTTGCTAGGCAGGTGCTCTTAATGCTTGAGACACTTTGCCAACCTTTTTTTTGGTGATGGTTTTGAGATAGGGTCTCCAAGCTGTTTACTTGGGGCTGGCTTCAAACCACAATCCTCCTGATCTCGGCCTCCTGAGTAGCTAGGATTACAGGTATGAGCCACTGGTGCTCCACTCATTTTTCTTTTTAATTAAACAGAACTGCTGTGGCACTCACAAACAGTTCTATTTCGTGTCATAATAAGCTACATGATACATGGGCAAGAAAATGGAATAAAAAATATTTTGATATATTTAAGCATGTACTTTGGCTTTCAGACATGACTGCAGTATAATATATCTGTTATATTCATAGATAACTGTAATATGTCTGTTATGTTGTTAGCTCTCAGAACTCAACATCACGGAAGAGCTCAAAATTGAGCAGGGAGTTTTGTAGCTTCTCAGCTTAGGGTTTTTATACTTCACATGGCTTAAAATAGTAGATTATTCTAGAGTGCTTTGTAGTTGATATGAATAATGAATTTTATTAAAATTAAATATGTTGCTAAAATTCTAAGAACAAACGATCTGGGGTGTTTGGTATTTAATAGTAGTATTTGTAAAATGACCACTACAACTACTTCCTGTTATTGTATGGCCCAACATTTGGAAACGTGCTGGGGGAGATACAGAAGAAAAATCTATGCATTCAAAGCAGTGACTGTCAGGAAAAGGAGGCCCAGGTACTTAGCTTTCATGTTGGGGTCATCTAAACTTGGTGTATGACTGCAATGTGAAGGTCATTTGGTGTATCTGAGATGTCAAAGCATTTACCATTATACCATGAGATCAAATAGAAAAGGTGCATCTTAAAGACATAGTACAAACTGGCTGGATGTAATGGTGCATACCTGTACCAAATACCTGTAATCCAAGCACTCGGGAAGCTGAGGCAGGAGGATTGTGAGTTTGAGGCCAGCCTGGGCCTCAAAAATAAACAGTAAACACACACAAAAAGAGTAAATATAAGGCTGTTACATTTGCAGATGATGCAGTGAGACAAAATTGTGTTCCTTTTTAGAAAAGTTCCAGGAAATCAAAATTAAGCAAGACATCCCCAGCCTACCATCTAGTGCATTCTCCATAAATGGAGAACAAATCTTTGAGCATTAATCTGGCCCAAGCCTTGATGAGGATAAAGCCAAATCATCAGAGTTACAGGGAAATGGAGATGTTGGCAGGGAATGAGGCCATTATTTAAGCAGAAACTGAAATTCAGTATTTCCTGGTTGAATTTGTAAGGAATTCACTAAAAGTCAGGGTGTTTTGTGCTGTATGAAGCACATAGCTCTTTATCAGTTCCTTATTGCAAAAGAAAACATGAAAGGTATCTTTTTTCTGGACAAGCTCACAGATTTGTTTTTCCTACCCTACAGTAAGTCTCCAACAACCCCATTTTTGGTCAAGATGAGGCCATGCCTCACTTTTATTATGAAGTTCTTAATGAACACATTTCCTGATCTGAATTTGACGCTGCTCAAAAGATTGACCTGTTTCTGAACAATGGCCTCCAGGTCTTTTGGATACCTGACCATATGTCTTTTTTGTGAGGATGTGTCAAGAGCTTCCATGTTTATCTCACTTTTCCCTTACGGCCTTAAGGGAATGCTATTTCAACAGTGAGCAGAGGTGATAGATTACAGAGGGACTGAGTTAAGTCACAGGATTGGCCTGTGCTTTGTGACAGGAAAGGTGTTTGCAGAAATAAGAGATGTCTGTGATGGTTCCTTTGCTGACTGCATTGTCCTTACCAAATAAAACATTTTAAAGCATTCAGTTCTGTGTACGGTGAAGTTTACTGAGAATAATCTACATAAAATAAACATGCAGACTTTAAGTTTGATAAGTGGAACACTTTCATCACCTCAAGATTTCCTCATGCTGTTTTCCAGCACATACTCCTTCCCTCAGTAACCACTAATCTTTCTGTCACCTTAGATGACTATTTCTGATGTTGGAGATCGAATCCAGGGCCTCGTATACTATGCAAGCAATCTACCACTGAAGGACCTCACACTTGCTAGGCAGACATTACTACTTGAGCTACTCCACCAGCGCTTTTTTGCGTTGGTTATTTTCATGATAGGGTCTCCAGAACTATTTGCCCCCTCTGGCTTCAAACTTCGATGCTCCTGATCTCTGCCTCCTGCGTAGCTAGGATTTCAGGTGTGAGCCCTGGCACCAGGCTTCTTTTCATTTTTAGATTCCTCCATGCTGTGTCATGTATCAGTAGTTGGTTTATTTTTAGCCCCTTGTGCAATTCTTTTTGAGTCATTCTATTTAGTAGTATTATATGCTTCTTAAATTTTATATAGATGCTATAATGCTGTACTTGTATAATTTTTGAAATCTAATGTTCTTTTTAATTGCCATATGTAATACTACATTGTGAGAGTATGCCACAGTTTTTTTAACCCACTTCCCTATTAATGAATGGTTAGGTTTTCTAATTTTTCCTCATTTTAAATAATACTGCAACAGACATACTAGGGCTAAATTGCTGATTTGTAAAAGATGTGTCTTAACTTTGCTTGCCATCTTGCTCTCCAGGTGGTAGGAATACTTTCCTTCACTGCCCATAGGGTTGAAGAGAGCTCTGTGTGTCTCTTAAGTTCTCACTAACACTTGGTGCTGCCTGATTTTAACTTTCTGCCAATCTGTTGATTGAGAAATGGTATCTCATTAATTTATTTCTTCATTTCTTTGACTATTTACATATTCATTAGGCTTTTAGGTTTCCTCATTGTTGAGCTGCTTGTTCATCTCTTTAGCCACTTTTTAAAAATAACATTATTTGTCTTTTACTGATTTGTGGGAGTTCGAATATATGCTGGATATTAATCTCTTACTGGTTATATGTGTTCAGATATTTTGCTAGTCAATGACTTACCTTTTAATTTTGATATCCTTATTTGTATAGAAATTTAAAAATTTTATGTCACATTTGTCAAAATTTCCCTTATGTTTTGTATATTTTATATCTTGTTCAAGAATCAATATACTTGATTATTTTCTTTTGAAAGTTTCACAGTTTTGCTTTTTACATTTAGATCTTTAATCCAGAATAGCTTTTTTTTGCTATTTAATTGTCCTTAAACTATTTATTAGTCCACTCCTTACCTTTTGCCACTTAGTCAATTCCCTTTATGAATGCACACATGTATTTCTTGACTGTTCTTTGTATTGTTTATCTATTCTTGCATGAATGCCCTACTGTTTGTAATGAGAGTCTTAGCCCCCTTTTTTTCAGTTATCTTAACTCTTCTTGATGTTCTGCTGCTTGCTCTTTGTGACTTTTAGATTCTCCGTTCCAGTAAAAACCAACAGCAGTCAAAAATCTCTTGAGCGTTTCAAATTGCATTGAATTTATAGATTTCATTTAATTGGAGAAAATTTGACACCAGTGGTTTTGATTCATACTGTCTATGCATATGGTATATTTTCCTGGTTATTTAGGTCTGCTCTAAATCCTTAACTAATAAGCTTTTTGCTCTAAAGTTATTATTTTTTTAAATAAACAGTTGCCTCTCTCTAAGTTCTTGCACATTCATTGTTGGATTTATTACCAGGTCCTTTTTAGTTTCTATTACTGCGTACCTTATACTTACTGCGAATAGCATCTTTGTTTCTAAAATTTTTTTCGGTGCTATATTTTATATCTTGTTCAAGAAACTAAAATATACTTGATTATTGTTTTCTTGGTTTTTGCTGTCAGGAACTTTTTTTTTTTTAATTTTCTATGATGAACTAAGATAGGAAAAAAAAAAAACCTTTCTTGTAATTTATGATAGTAATTAAAAGAAAAGTTGCTCAAGGTGCCACTGGCTCACAACTGTAATCCTAGCTACTCAGGAGGCAGAAATCAGGAGGATCAATGTTAAAAGCCATTCCCGGCCAAATAGTTCTCAAGACCATCTTAAATAAACCCAACACAAAAAAGGGCCAGCAGAGTGGTTCAAGTGGTAGAGCACCTGCCTAGCAAGCATTAGGCCCTGAGTTCAAACCCCATGCTGCAAAAAAGAAAAAAACGAAAAAGAAAAGCAGAGGGGCTGGAGAATATAGTTGGTTCAGTGGTAGAGCACCTGCCCAGCATGCCTGAGGCCCTGCATTCCATCCACAGCACTGGGGGGGAAAAAAAAAACACAAAACCAAAAAACTGAAAGCCCAAACCCAAGAGTTTGAAAAAGATAAAAGGGGTAACAAGGAACACTTCAAATCTGACATGTCCCTAATTGTTCACACAGCAGGAAGAAGGGCCTGTCCCTAACCTCCCTTCCAGTTAACATATTGTATCACTGCTTCATATCCTTTACAAATAAAATATAGAGTTCTTAACTGTACACTGTCCACTGTGTTAGACATTTGGAATTAAATATTTTAATTTGTAAAATTTTACAAGAGTACTGTGGAAGAAACATAAAGCTAATTGATATGCCTCTCAAATAGGCTATCAAAAACTAACACTTTACAAAACTCACATAAATTTTTGTATTTAATCCTGTAGCAATCTTCAGTCTCATTTTTACAGATTTGGAAGGTTAAGTAACTTACTGATGAATTTGTTTTTGTCAATAAGATTTAAATATAAAATGAGATTTTTAGTGAGTGCCTATAAACTACCTCTCACTTTGATTCTTTTATATAAAGCTCATTATAGTTTATCTGTCTTTTTTGGGTATTGTATAAAAAGACATTGTATTTTCTGCCTCCATATTTTACAAAAAAGATTGCTGGGAGAAATCCACTAAGATGTCAGTGATTTGCAAGGTGTGATGGCTACATGGGGAGGCATAGGGAGGAAGATTGCAAGGCCATCCCTGGGCAAAAATGTGAGACAGTATCTGAAAAACAGCCTGAAGCCGAAGGGGCTTGGGGATGTGGTTTAAGTGGTAGAGCACCTGCCTAGCAGGCAGGAGGCTCTGAATTCAAACACTAGTACTGTAAAAAAAAAAAAAAAAACAAACAATGATGTAATTCCTGTACCTCAAGGCGATCATTGGAGTTTATAGGTGGCACCTGTCCATTGAAATTGTAGTGGGCATGCTATGAGAAAATAACATGGAACAGAACTTGAGGGCATGAAAGAAATCTGCAGTTATTTCCTCAGCTTCTACTTTTAGAAGGATTTTTTATTTAAACTCAAGGCTCTTGAAAATTTTTGATGTTATTTCTTTCGCTTTTTCAACTATATACTAGGAGAGTGTGACATCTATGCAAGGATGATAGTGTAGAATTTGGAGTGTGATGCTGATGAAAGGCAGGAAGCAATTTTTCTTAAGGTTTTCAAGAGGAGCCAGGTGCCAGTGGCTCACACCTGTAATCCTAGCTATTTAGGAGATTCAGACCGGGAGGATTAAGGTTTGAGGCCAGTTCAGGCAAATAGTTTGCAAGATTGAATCTCCAAAATAACCAGAGCAAAAAAATAACCAGACTGGAGGTGTGGCTCAAGTGGTAGAACACCTGTTTTGTAAGTGCAAAGTCCTGAGTTCAAACTCCAGTCCCACAACAACAACAAAAAAGATTTCCAAGAGGAAATACTATCCAAACTAAAGAGATTAATCAATGAAGTTGAAATGGGTGTTTGCCCTTGAATGGATAAAATGTCATTTAATTTTTTTCATTTTATTTTAGTTACTGTATATATGCCTTGTTTCCTGGGTCCACGGGAAGCATGAGTCTTTTGGTACTTGGGACAAGAAGAAAACGAGGTATCTTCACAAGGAAAACCAGACACTAAAAAAGTGTCCCAAACTCTGAAGAGGTAGAAACATGACCGACTGTGGACTTAGGGATCCTCCAGAGGGTAAGACAAGTTGTACAGTGCTGAGGTTTGTGCTGTCAGCTGCCAGGGCTGTGCTAAGAGAACATCTCTAGTGACTGAAACTGATGCTGTGAAGTCAAAAGCTAATTCAATGGATTAATTTCTTATGATTATTCTTGTTCTCCATATTTACTGAATTTTACCACAGTATCAGATCCTAATCGTTAATATAAGGAAGATAAATGTTTTAGGATCCAATAGTGGGAACCTGCTGTATTGGCAAAATATAGTGTGCCTTAAAAAGCTGGTAGAAAGAATTTTAGAGTTATATTTATTAAATTAAAAAACCCTATGATATGCTGTATCTTTTAATTATTGGTAGAGATGAGGATTAAAGTATTTATCCTGCTTATAGGTACATAGAGGAGATACACAAAGGTAAAATATGGAATAGAGTAGAGAAAGGGGACATATTTAAGTCTCCTATTAAGGAAGTTTTTTAAATACATAAAAATAGAGCAGTGTAATGAACCCCCATGTATTCAACATCCAACTTCAACTATTACCAACATAGTGCTGATCTTGTTACCTGCTCTGGATGATTTTAACGTAAATGCAAGACATAAATTTTATTCATAAACACTTTGGTTTATGTCTCTTAAAGATAGATTACTTTGAAAAACATAATCAAAATAATCATCACATCTAAAACATAATTATTGTTTAATTCCATCATGTACCCTGTCAGACTGCACATTTATCAAACCATCTTGTGATTTTTTTTCTTAACAGTTTATTTTTTTCTTTATAGTTGGGCCACACACTACATGTTGCTGATATGTCTTTTAGACTGCTCTTGTTTTAAAGCTTTATTATATAATATTTCACACATATGTAGAAGTAAAGAGATGAAGCGAACCTCATGGACCCATTAGCTTCATGCACTGTCAACCAATGTAAGGCAAATATTGTTTCATATGTACCCTCACTGTTCTCTTCCCTCACTTTTAATTCAGACAACTTTTATATATCCTGAGATTTTGTCCATAAATATGGAATATCTCTAAAGGATAAGATGCATAGTAATTTCTTATACATACTAGGCAAGCACTACCACTGAGCTACATCTCCAGCCTTATAAGTACTTCCTTGGGGATTGGTTTATTTGAAACTGTATCTAAACATTGTGGTCTATATATCATAGTTGATTGATGTGTCTTTTAAGAAAGGTTACTCTTCTTCCTCCCCCCCCTCCCCGCTTTTTGGTCACTTATTTTTATTTCCTGCCATTATTTAAAAAACAAAGTGTTTCTATCCTGTGGAATTTCCTACATTCTGGATTTTGCTGCTTACTTTTTTTTTGGCAGAGCTGTGGATAGAACCCAGGCCTTGCCCATGCTAAGCAAGCACTCTACTACTGAGCTACCTCTCCACCTCTAGTTTCCAGCCCCTGGTTTTTTTGAGACAGGGCATTACTATGTAGCTCAGGTGGACCGTGAACTTTCAGTCCTCCTGCCAATTCTTCCTGAGTGCTGGGATTACAGGCATTGCACCACTGTGCATGACCTGATTAAATTCTTGAGGCATAATTTACTTTCTCCCTGCATCCCTAAGAAACTAGTGGTTAGCTCTCGTAAGTTAATCAGATTCAAGTTCAGTTGCTGGGCAAAAATGCTTCATAGATGGGATAGTGTATTTCATATTGCACTGTACTGGGAGTTTAATGATGCCTGGTTTCCTCTGTTTGTTTTGCAATACTGGTGGTTGAACTAAGGGCTTCACAACTTGCAAGGAAGTGCTTTACTTCTTGAGCCACACCTGTAGCCCTTTTTGCTCTGCTTATTTTGAAAATAGGATGTCTCTTTTTGCTCAGATGAGAATAAACCTCTAAAGAAACATTTATTAGGCTGGGAATGTAGCTCGGTTGGTACAGCACTTGCCTAGCAGGCACAAGGCCCTGGGTTCAATTCCCAGGACCACCAAAAAAAAAAAGAAAGAAAGAAAAGAAACATTTATGAGACAATCAGAAAAATATACATGCCAATTATTTAATGAAACTAAGAAATTACAGGGGGTTTTTTATTTGTTTGTTTTTGGTGGTACTGGGGATAAGACTAAGAAATTACTATCTATCTTTTTAGGTATGATAAGTATATTGCGATTGTGTTTGAAAAAAAGAATCTGGGCTGACAGAGTGCCTCAAATGATAGCGTGCCTGCCTAGCAAGCATGAAGCCTTGAGTTCAAATCCCAGTACCACCAAAAAGAAAAAAATCCTTATCTTTTAGTGATATGTATTCTGACATTTATAGCTAAAATTACAGGATTCCAGAATCTGCTTCAATTAACTGATATAAGGGGAGTGGAAAGTGAGGGCGTACAGATGATACATATATTTATGTATTTTATACATATTGTACATATTTATACATATGTTGTGTTTGTTTTTGAGATAGGGTCTCACCATATAGCCCAGGCTAGCCTGGAACTCTGTAAGTACCCCACACTGGCCTCAAACTCCTGATGCTCCTGCCTCTACCTCCTGAATGCTAAGATTACAGGTATACACCACCACATCTGGCTCTATATTTTTTTGGGGGACAGGGTCTCACTATATAGCTCAGGCTGGCCTTGAACCCTCAATCCTCCTGCCGGAATTACAAACTGGAATTACAAGCATGTACCATCACTCCTGGTTTAAGAGGGTATATTTAATATAACCAAAAGTTGTTTTTATCACTTAGAGTTGTTTTACATCGTGTTAGTTGTTAGATTTATTAACAAGATAATAAATCTGTTTTAATTACCTTTAGTGGGATCCAAGACAAGTAATGTTTAGGAAGAATGCCTTATAAACCACGAAAATCAAAATATTGGCTAATCAGGACAAAAAAATAAAGGGACTCTTTTTGAATTAAAAAGTATAAATTTTTATTTTACTAGACTCTCAGAAGGATTTGAAAAATGATCCACCAATAAATTCTCAGACACAGGAGACCACAGTCACACCAAGTGATACTGAAGAAGGTCAGGTCCTACACCCTGCCTCTGGACTTAACAAAGACCAGCAAGAGGTAGAGATTTCAAAAGGCCCAGAATGTGAAGACACTGGTGATAAATCAGAAAGCCCAGATGAAATAAATTTTGAGAAACATCAAAAGGATAAAGCAGAGCATGAGAATAGCCCGAGTTTTCAGGATGGAGAGCAAGGGGATCACCTCTCTTCAGAAAGTCTGGGTGAGGAACCCTTGGATCCAGATCCTAACCCTTCTCCAAGCGACAAGGTGGGAAGAGCGAATGCACACTTGGGAAGCAGTTCTGCAGCTTTCCCTGAGGAAGCGAGGGACAGAACTGAAACCTCTCAGGAGCCACCTACTGCAGATTCTCCAGGTGCCCACAGTTCAGGTCATCCCAGTTCAGGGCCAGAGAGCCAGGATTCACTGAGGAGGCGACTGCCTGTGCCAGGTGAGAGAACATACTGAACTACAACTGCCTTCTTTTGTAGTGCCCTGAGAACATAGCATAAGTCAGTGACCTTCTTTTCAGAAAACTATTATTGTTATTATTATTGTTTTAAGCAGTACTAGAGTTTGAACTCAGAGCCTCACACTTACAAGGAAGTGCTTTACTTCTTGAGCCACACTCTAGCCCTTTTTGCTCTGTTATTTTGAAAATAGGATGTCTCTTTTTGCTCAGATGAGCCTGGAACCACAATCTTCCCAGTCTTAGCCTCCCTCAGAGTTTAGACTGATAGGCAGATGCCGCTGCGCCCAGCTGTAGGTTGGGAGCAGGTCTCACAAACTCCCTGCCTGGACTGGCCTTGAACCTTCATCCTCCCAATCTCAGCCTACAAAGTAGCTGGGTTACAGTTGTGAGCCACTGGTACCTGATTTTTCTGTTTGTTTGTTTGCTTGTTTTGTTTGTTGCATTTTGTTTTTTATATTAAGATTAATCATTGAGTTAAGCAGTTGTTAATCTGGTTCATCCATTATAAAATTTCCCATCAGTGTTTTGCATGATGGTTTGCACTGCATCGATAATTGTTGCCTTTCATTAGGGAAGAGTATTTACCTATATGTAATCTTTCATTGGTTTAGAATAAACCTCTAAAGAAACATTTATTAGGCTGGGAATGTAGCTCGGTTGGTACAGCACTTGCCTAGCAGGCACAAGGCCCTGGGTTCAATTCCCAGGACCACCAAAAAAAAAAAAGAAAGAAAGAAAGAAAAGAAACATTTATGAGACAATCAGAAAAATATACATGCCAATTATTTAATGAAACTAAGAAATTACAGGGGGTTTTTTATTTGTTTGTTTTTGGTGGTACTGGGGATAAGACTAAGAAATTACTATCTATCTTTTTAGGTATGATAAGTATATTGCGATTGTGTTTGAAAAAAAGAATCTGGGCTGACAGAGTGCCTCAAATGATAACGTGCCTGCCTAGCAAGCATGAAGCCTTGAGTTCAAATCCCAGTACCACCAAAAAGAAAAAAATCCTTATCTTTTAGTGATATGTATTCTGACATTTATGGCTAAAATTACAGGATTCCAGAATCTGCTTCAATTAACTGATATAAGGGGAGTGGAAAGTGAGGGCGTACAGATGATACATATATTTATGTATTTTATACATATTGTACATATTTATACATATGTTGTGTTTGTTTTGAGATAGGGTCTCACCATATAGCCCAGGCTAGCCTGGAACTCTGTAAGTACCCCACACTGGCTCAAACTCCTGATGCTCCTGCCTCTACTCCTGAATGCTAAGATTACAGGTATACACCACCACATCTGGCTCTATATTTTTTTGGGGGACAGGGTCTCACTATATAGCTCAGGCTGGCCTTGAACCCTCAATCCTGCCTGCCGGAATTACAAACTGGAATTACAAGCATGTACCATCACTCCTGGTTTAAGAGGGTATATTTAATATAACCAAAAGTTGTTTTTATCACTTAGAGTTGTTTTACATCGTGTTAGTTGTTAGATTTATTAACAAGATAATAAATCTGTTTTAATTATTTAGTGGGATCCAAGACAAGTAATGTTTAGGAAGAATGCTTATAAACACGAAAATCAAAATATTGGCTAATCAGGAGACAAAAATAAGGGACTCTTTTTGAATTAAAAGTATAAATTTTTATTTTCTAGACTCTCAGAAGGATTTGGAAAATGATCCACCAATAAATTCTCAGACAAGGAGACCAACAGTACACAGTGTACTGAAGAAGGTCAGGTCCTACCCTGCTCTGGACTTAACAAGACAGCAAGAGGTAGAGATTTCAAAAGGCCAGAATGTGAAGACCTGGTGATAAATCAGAAGCGCAGCCCAGATGAAATAAAATTTGAGAAAACATAAAAGGATAAAGCAGAGCATGAGATAGCCGAGTTTTAGGATGGAGAGCAGGGGATACCTCTCTTCAGAAAGTTGGGTGAGGAACCCTTGGATCCAGATCCTAACTCTCAAGCGACAAGGTGGGAAGAGCGAATGCACACTTGGGAAGCAGTTCTGTAAACAGCTTTCCTGAGGAAGCGAGGGACAGAACTGAAACTCTTCAGGAGCCACCTACTGCAGATTCTCCAGGTGCACAGTTCAGGTCATCCCAGTTCAGGGCCAGAGAGCCAGGATTCACTGAGGAGGCGACTGGCCTGTGCAGGTGAGAGAAACATACTGAACTACAACTGCCTTCTTTTGTAGTGGCCTGAGAACATAGCATAAGTTCGTGACCTTCTTTTTGAAACTATTATTGTTATTATTATTGTTTTAAGCAGTACTAGAGTTTTGAACTAGTAATTTATTCTACTATATTAAGCTGCTTCTACACATACACCACATTTTGATATAATATGTTTATTTACTTTTTATATTAATGAAATATGACAAAAGGAACATGACTTTTTTTAAAAAAAGAATTTGTCTGTGGTTCTTTGTTTCTTATGATGATATTTGGCTTAAATTTTTTTAATTATCTTACCTTTTGGGAAACTAAATGTTACATAAATCAAGAGTGAGTACATTTTAAAATGAGTGCTAATGGTACTGTGTACTGAACTCAATTGTACTTCAGTTTGATGGGACTTTGAGCAAATCGATTAATTTTCCACCTGACTTTCCCCTGCTTTCAAGTTAAGGGGACTAGGCATATCTTCTCTTATGAAGGAAGAAGTTGCAATGTGCTAAATCCTTAACTCGTAAGCTGTGGATTCTAGTTGTGGTCCTATCACATTGATAACTTTGGTAGTCTCAGGCAAGTCTCTTAATTTCGTTACTATATGCAAAATGAAGACATTGGGTGAGATGATACCCAGGGTTTCTGCAGTTTTTACTTTCTGATTGTACATGTGAATTTATATTTTATGAGTACCTTGAAGAGCTTTCAGTCTGAAATGCCCATTTGCCAGTTGAGAAGAACATACAATATATGACATTGTGTTTATCAGGGACTTGACCTAGGGGTAGTAATTCATGTTTCACTGCAAATCAATGAAATCAGTAGTCATTAGAAAATAGTCTGTGAAGACAAAGACTAGGGCCATTTCTTTCGTTATATTCTTTGGTCCCTGGCATGTAGAAGCAACTTTATATTTCTTGACTAAGTGAATGAATGTATTGAATTTACCATTATCTCCCATTAGAGTTTCACCTTGTGCAGGTTCACTGTGAGTGGAAAAAATAAAATAGTGTTTAAAAAATGCAATTTAGGACTGGGGATATAGCTCAGTAATAGAGTGCTTGCCTAGCTTGTATAAGGCCATGTGTTTAATCCCCAGTACTGCAAGAATTGTGGGAAAGAACCTAATGTAGTGGGATGGGCTAATCTATAATCTTGCTGTTGTAAAAGAAAATTCCATGAATTATAGAGAGGAATAAAGGTATACACATTCTTACCATGTCCTTTCCAAAAGTAGCATTATTCCTTTCTTCTCCCAGAGGCCAAAAATCATAAAGAAGAAGCACAAGCAGTGGAAGAGAATGAAGAGCTTGCACGGGATACCTTGAGAAAGATTAATAAAAAGTGCTTTTGGCGCTATGGTGAGAACAAACCTAGTTTTATTTCAGTGTTGATTCACATTCATGAATCTTTAGTGATAATGCCTAAAAACTAGTACATTTGAACAGTGTTAATGTGGTATTAATATACTTTTTAAAAAATGTTCCATAGTAAGTCGTAGTAAACTAGAGCAATGAAGTTTTAGGGTTTTTTTTTTTCTCGTTAGGGTTACTGGCTGGTATTTTGCTGTGCTTAACAAAATAGAAATTCCTATAGTAGGCAGGATTTTTCATAATTAAGAAAATAAAACTACCTTTTCACTTAGAGGATGCTAACTTCTCAAGTGCCATTTTTAAGGCTTATTTTTATTTATTTTTTAAATTAATTTATTTTGGGGGACAGGGTCTTACTATGTAGCCCAGACTGGCCTTGAGCTTGCCTTCCTCCTGCCTCAGCCTCCCGAGTGCTGGCATTGTGGATGCCACCATGCCCAGCTCATTTTTAAGTTTGGACTCCTAAAAGCGGGGTCTATTTTGGGTAGTAACTACTTTGATAAAGTGGAAGAAGATCCTCATAGCTCACTTCTAAAGTGCATCATTAGTTGCAGCAACAACAAAAAATACATGCAGACAGCTTTTCCCTTCTTTTTTTTTTTTTTTTTTGGAGAGGCACTAGGGTTTGAACTCAGGGCTTCACACTTGCTAGGCAGGTGCTCTTAACTGCTTGAGCTACTCCTCTCTCTCTCTCTTTTTTTTTTTTTTTTTTTTTGTGATGGGTTTTTTTGAGATATTGTCTCACGAACTATTTGCCCAGGCTGTCTTCAGAGTCCTCCTGATCTCTGCCTCCTGAGTAGCTAGGATTATGGTTGTGAGCCACTGGTGCCTGTCTCAGCTTTTCCCTTTTAACAAAGATATTATATCTTCAAATAATTTGAGAAGAGATAAGAAAAAAGGAATTTCTGGTAGATTTTAAGAGTGAATGTTTAAAAATTTTAAGTAATCTACCTCATTTCAGTTTACCACAAGCTCTGTTTCCAGCTCATGTTCTCTCATTTGTTATTTTCTCATTCTTTGACAGGTCCTGTGCTTCTTGGCCTCCTGGTTGTGGCTGTTGCGCTAAGCTCCGTTAGTAGCTACTATTCCTCTCCATCCCATCAAGTGCCCAAAAATCCAGCTTTGGAGGCCTTTTTGGCACAGTTCAGCCAATTGAAGGATAAATTTCCGGGCCAGAGTTCCTTCCTGTGGCAGCGAGGACGTAAGTTTCTCCAGAAACACCTCAATGCTTCAAATCCCACCGAGCCAGCCACCATCATATTTACAGCAGCTCAAGAGGGAAGGGAGACCTTGAAGTGCCTGAGCCACCATGTTGCTGATGCCTACACTTCTTCCCAGAAGGTCTCTGCCATTACAATCGATGGGGCTGGAAGAGCCTCACAGGACAGCGACACAGTCAAGCTGTGGGTTGACTTGGAGCTGAGCTATGGATTTGAGAGTGGTCAGAAGGCTGCTGTGGTACACCACTTTGAGTCCCTTCCTGCAGGCTCCACCTTGATCTTCTACAAATATTGTGATCATGAGAATGCTGCCTTTAAAGATGTGGCCCTCATCCTGACCGTTCTACTAGAGGAAGAAACATTAGAAGCAAACGTAGGCCCAAGGGAAACTGAAGAGAAAGTGAGAGATTTACTCTGGGCCAAGTTCACCAACTCTGACAACCCCAGCTCCTTCAACAATATGGACTCAGACAAATTAAGTGGTCTGTGGAGTCGTATTTCACACCTGGTGCTGCCTGTCCAGCCAGTGCAGATCATAGAAAAACAGGGATGCCTTTTATAAAACTAAGCACAGAGTTAGTTGTAGAAAGCCTGGGGCTTCCAAAAAAGTCAGTTTAAAGGTCTTTCATTTCTGTGGAAGGAGGTCGGTACCTGTGTGGGAACAGCCTGAAAAGCACAATTGAGTTTATTTTAGAGAAGATCATGTCATTTACTTTTTGTAAAATCTTTCTAATCTTAGCTTTGACAAAGCTAAAAATTGACCTTTTTCTTTTGCCTTTTTAAGCAAATCGTGTTGGATATATAATGTAAAACTGAGGAATTTTTTTAAGTCCCAAAATACAGCAACAGAATCATTGCACAGGAAGATATACTTGTCAGAGTAACTACAGAGTGATTTTTGTTTTCTTGAATGTTACTCTAAAGAGCCTTTTTGATAGTGTTTCGACTTGGACTAAAGCAATTACAGTCATGAAGCAATGTTAATTTTTAGAAAACTTTTCTATCACATTTAAAGATTTTTTTTAAAACTTACTTTAATAACTTAGTTATGGAATTATATTTTATAATAATTTGCACTTTTGAGTAGTATGAGAAAAGGAAATAAGAATTCAGCCATTGAATTATTATATAAATACTTACTGTTTGTAAGGAACTATGCTTTTATTCCGTTAATAAGCTGAGGTAAAAGCAGCTATATTAAAAAATGTTCTTAAAATATTGTAATCAGTAGAGAAATTGTAATCATTGGAAATGAAGAAATCTCAATTAGCTAATCTTTACTTCAGCTTTCTTGAAAGATTTAGAGCATTGATTTTCAAACCATGTCTAGCAGCATCCCCTTTGTAGCAGAGATATCTGCTTTTGATTGTTTTATACATTGGGGTTCTCTATAAGATTTCATTGGTACAGAGAGTTTCACCTATAATAATGAAGTTTGTAAAACATTGATCAGGTGTAAAAACAGAAGAAGGGAAAGCAGTAGGAAAGATTAAAGTAGGTTTATTGTGTAGAAAGACCTACATACAAATAGCAGAATGTATAAGCTAGCATTTACTAGCATGTGTCTGATGCTTTTGCTCATTTCTGCTAATCCTATCTGTCTCCCCTGAATAGAATTGATACTTGCCTAGGATGAGAGTTTGAGTGGCATCTCAGAAGAACAGATTTTAATCACTTATTTAGTAATAGTTTTTACATGGGCATATTGGGATAACTTTACCAAGTAGCTTATTTGCTAGGCATTGTATAATACAGGTCATTTCTTGACAACTGGTTAGAAATATCATTAAGGTGAAAATTAAACATGAAAGAGATGTTAGTGAGAAGCAACAGAAATAGTAGATTCTGTGACGTTTTAATGGCCACTATCAATTGTTGGACTACATCCTTGATTGTAAGACAGATTGGAGACAGTAGCTGTTTTATTAGCATTTGAGCTCTGAAAGAACTCTAGTAAAATTGATCTTGACCGATGGACTATCGTCATGGTCCTGGAATGTTTTAACTAAGTTTTGGCCTCTCTACTTCTATGAGACCATATATATGTATATAGTAAAGAAGTCATGTAATTAAAGTCTGGAAGGATTTTTAGGAAACACTAAGAAGATAAAGGATCTTTATTGATACTTAAAAAATCACAGCCACAGGAAAAACAAATTTGCTTTGATCAAAGCCTTCAGTCTGCTCGGTTGAGTGTAGGCCATACTTGAAGGGACAGTATGTATTTGGGACTTTGAAGGAAACTTCCAATAGATTTGAGAAAAGACCTGAGCGCAAAACTAAAGTATAGTAAATGTAGTATCAGTGTCAATCCAACATAAAGTCAGAGGGAACTGAAGAAGAATCTGTATGTCATATTAGATTTTCTTCCCTGTAGTTTTAGATCTTAGATGCTAGCAGGTCATCACACAAAGCCAATAGTGCCTTGTAGAGCTGTTATGTTGGTCTGCTGACCTGTGCTACCTCAGATTAATAGAGGAACCAGTATGAATTGTACATAACCAGTCTCTAGACTCAGATCCCAGTTGCGACATAGGTAATTGTCTCTTCATTTGATTGGATATGGTTTTTTCATGTAATTGAGGATAATATGTTTCTAAAATTTTCAAAATTTTTTGTTTACTGTTTCGCCTTTGTCAAACACACTTTTCCTTCCATATGTAAGTGCAGTCAACTGAGACTATTGTCAGTTTTCTGTCTATTGTTTCTTGTACTGCCAGGGTTTGAACCCAGGGCCTTGTAAGTGTTCTGCTGCTGCACTACATCCCCAACCCTCTGTCCACTATTTCAAAAATTATTTTAAAAAGAAACAGTATATTAGCCCTGGGTCTTTTCAAGAATAAAATGTTGAGCTAGGATTTTGCTGTGTAGCCCACACTGGCCTCAAACTAGTGATCCTTCTGCCTCAGCCTTCTCGGTGTTGGGATGACAAGCATGCATCACCACACCTGGATAAAAATGATTTTATTTTTAAAACATAAACCTGTATTTTAAAATGTACACTTCATTAAAATCTATTATCTAATGTACTGTTTTAGGTTAATTTTACAGTCCATTAGTTGGTTTTTACATTTTTTAAGTTTTCAAATTTCTGTGTATCTAGTAGTTCATCTCTCATTATTATGAAAGATCATTTTGTTTGTTTTGACTTAGAAAAATGATTTGTGGACACATAATAGCATACCCAAGCATCACCTTTGAATTTTTTCACAGAACAACTTTCATTACATTATACATCAATGTAAGTATCTTCTTGAGTAATAGTAGAGTTATAGAAGCAGGTAGGGGAATCAGAAACTGTCTTTGGACTTGAAGTTGGTTTTCTTTTTCCCTCCTTAAGGTAAAAGTTAGGTTTTCTAGCTAGTTTCCAGAGTGTGACAGAAAAGTTCTAGGGATTTGATGGCACTTAAGGTAATATTGCTGTTTGTTTCTATTTCTATTTTTTAAATCATTAAAGTAATTTTAACACTTCATTGAATGCCTCAAAGCTTGGTTAGTGAGACTCAGCATGGCCCTGATCCACCTTCCTCTCAGCTAAGTACCAGCTGAACACGAGCCACTGAGGTAGCTTTGCACAGCTTTTGTTTGTCTTCTGCCTTTGTTTGTTAAAGGCAGGAAGCAGAATGAACGTTGATGCTAGAATACAACAAATGCAACATGTGAGAGTGAAAATAATCCAGAAAAATGATTTTCACCAGCACTTTTATTGGCATGTATCTAACCAAAATTTTTGAACTCCACTGAATTTTGCTTTTGTGTTCTTAAAAAGTTAATGGACTTTGCCAGTATTAATATCAGATTTCTTGGTATTTCCCTTCCTTATACAACCATGATTGCTTTTGCATTTGTTTGGTATGGGTGTTGAATGTGCCTTATTCAAATTAGTTGTCTGGTTGTTACAAAAAATAAACATTAATTTTTCTCAGCTGACTGATTCTTGATTAAAATTTCCAAAACAGCAAATTTATAGAAATGAGGATGTGGTTGTTAATGGCGGAAAAGGAAACTGCCCTCACTTGGCAGTTAGCTGAAGAGCCAAAGAATTCTTGTGAGGTCAGGCAGCATTAGTGGCCATCAGTGAAGAAAGAGTAAGGGAGTCATTGTTCCTATTGGGAGTGTGTTGTAGGCGTGGGTCCCGTCATCTTGTATTTTACAAGTGGGAGGTGGGTGTGTATGAAGAATTTCAGTCTTATCAAAGGTGCTAAAAATGTACCATGGAGAAAAGACAGCCTCTTCGACGAAAACTGCTGGGAAAACTGGTCAGCAGTCTGCAAAAACCTGAAACTAGATCCATGTATATCACCCTATACCAAGATTAACTCAAAATGGATCAAGGATCTTAATATCAAACCCCAAACTCTAAGTTGGTACAGGAAAGAGTAGGAAATACTTTGGAACTAATAGGTATAGGCAAGGACTTTCTCAATGGAACCCCAGCAGCTCAGCAACTAAGAGTAGATAGGGACAAATGGACTTCATAAAACTAAAAAGCTTCTGCTCAACAAATGAAATGGTCCTAAACTGAGAGAGCACCCACAGAGTGGGAGAAAATATTGCCAAACTTATACATCAGGAAAAGGAACTGACCAACCAGAATATAGAGAACTCAAAAAAACTAAATTCCTCCCAAAATCAATGAACCAATAAAGAAATGGGCAGTGAACTAAACAGAATTTCTCAAAAGAAGAAATTCAAATGGCCAAAAAAACACATGAAAAAATGCTCACCATCTCTAGCAATAAAGGTAAATGCAGATTAAAACCACACTAAGTTCCACCTCACCCGTTAGAATAGCCCATTCATCAACACCACTAACAACAGGTGTTTGAGGATGTGGGGAAAAAAGGAGCCCTTTTTACTGCTGGTGGGAATACAAACTAGTACAACCACTCGTGGAAAAAAATATGGAGGCTTCTTAAAAATCTAAAACATTGATCTACCATATGATGCAGCAATCCCACTCCTGGGGATACACCCAAAGGAATGCAACACAGGTTACTCCAAAGGCAACTGCACACCCATGTTTATTGCGGCACTATTCACAATAGCCAAGTATGGAAACGCCAAAGATGCCCACTTCTGATGAATGATTAAGAAAATGTGGTTATACACAATGGAATTACTACTCAGCCATGAAGATGAATGAAATTCTTATCATTGCAGTAAATGGATGAACTGAGAACATCATCCTGAGCGAGGTTACCAGGGCCAGAAGACCAAAAATCGTATGTTCTCCCTCATATGCAGACTTTAGATCAAGGGCAAACACAACAAGGGGACTGGACTTTGATCACATGGTGAGGCGAGAGCACACAAGGGAGGTATTAGGAATTAATAGGTAAAGGCAAGAACTTTCTCAATGGAACCCCAGCAGCACAGCAACTAAGAGATAGCATTAGCATGAATGGGACTTCATTTAAAAAGCTTCTGCTCAATGAAAGAAATGTTCTCTAAAACTGAAAAGAACACCCACAGAGTGGGAGAAAAATTGCAGCTACAACATCAACTCCCCCCCCAAAAAAAAACAAGATAGCATTTGATGTGTCCTTCAATGCAAAGGAACTAAGCCAGAAAACTTTAAAGCGGACAGAGGGGCAATAGAAGAAGGGACCCAGAACTAAGAGAAAAAGGTATAGATCCAAAAAGGAATTAACCGTTAGAAGTAACACCCACGCCACAGGAAATCAATGTGAGTCAATGCCCTGTATAGCTATCCTTATCTCAACCAGCAAAAACCCTTGTCCCTTCCTATTATTACTTATACTCTCTCTACAACAAAATTAGAGATAAGGGTAGAATAGTTTCTGCCTGGTAGTGAGGGATTGGGGGGGTGGAGAGAAGGAAGGGGTGGGGGAAAGGGAGGGGGTGGGGGAAAGGGGGGAGAAATGACCCAAACATTGTATGCACATATGAATAAAAAAAAAAAGAATTAAAAAAAAATTTCAGTCTTAGAACCAGGTCCTGGTGGCTCACGCCTATAATCCTAGCTACTCAG